TCATGGCCTAATCTTTACATAATAGGTAAAATTTGTATCTGCTTAGATTAGGGAAAAGTGACTCCAAGTTCATGAAGAATGACATACAGGAAAAATAGAGTGAGTATTTGTTCATCTGTACTACCATTAAATACGACTTAGCATAACTCCTGGCCTTAAAAAACAACCCAAAAACTAAACTGATGTTTTCAGTGTGATCCCTCCTTGTAGATCTCATGGACTTTTTCTACTACGATTGTGATCTGATGTCAAAATTTCTCTTCCTGGAGGTCCTCTGACTGTGGACTCTCTATTGTGTGCTGTTAAGGGCATAGGATTCAGGATTTGGACACGTGTTGTTCAATGGAAATGTTCTGTATTTGCCTTTATCCATTATAGAAGCCACTAGCTGCATGTGACTATTGACATCTTGAAATGTGACTCATGAAGCTGGAGAATGGAATTTTTCCTTTTGATTAAAGTTAAATAACCACAAGCAACGTGTGACTGGAATATTGCACAGTGTATATCTAAAGTTGCCTTTTAAGGAAAAGTAAATTATGGATAAATTTGATCTGCAGAAGGATCTCTTTTGGTCAAAGTGCAATATGTCACAATATTTCCTTTGAGATCTTATTACACTCTTTATTTGCTGAAGCCAGTAGTTTCACCCTATATAGCTATTGCCTGTATACTATTGTTAATTCAAGTATGTGCAAAGGAAGACTAACCAATTATATCAGCAGGAGTCTCTGAAGACTTCCAGGAAGTGACTTTTGAATTTAATCTCAAAGGAAAAGAAGGTCACCCTCAGGTTGGGGGCTGAGGATGAGTAAGAGCAGAATGAAGGGATCTCAGGCAGAGATGAGAAAAGGATGGCATGACCAGGGGAATATTCAATAATTTAGTATAACTGGCATAGAAAGTGTCTTTTATGAGAAACAGAAAGGCAGGAAATACAATTTGAAAAAAAAAAATGATAATATACATTGTTTCAATACTGTCCAACTATTAGTTTTCACATAATTTTATGCAATTTCCCACCTAAAATATTTATCCTATCACATATATAAAGGTTTCCTTTCTTTTCCTTTCCTTTCTTTTTCTTTTACAAACATCATTTATGTTTTAATCATTAAATAAAACAACTAAAATTACAACTTTGTTACCTAAATTTATGACTTGGACAAGATTGAGATTTAGGAAATTTATTGCCATGAAGTCACCAATGGTTTATAATTTATAAGACTTTGGATTAGACATTAGCACAGTTATTATTTCCTCTGATGCCTTACCTCACCACAGTCTAATAACATTCAGGAAATCCAAAAGACAAAGGGGAGAGAGTGGTCTTGAAAGCTAAAAACAGTCGTTGAAAACTGATGCAATCATGTAATAAAATATAGCACAAAAACTTATATGATATGCTCATAGCATCTGCTAAAGCAATTAGAATCCATGTAGCTAAAGTTTTATTCATGTATTTCTACAGTGAAAACTCTTTCAGCCCAAGTAAGACATATAAGCTATACAGTTTAATTGTATACATTGGTCTTAGGATTTTCAGTCTTATTACTTGCATATGTGATCTATTTTACACTCTTCCAAAACAGAAATCCACTGGGTAGCAATCAGATTTTGAAAGTCCTTCCAAGTAAAGCCAGATAGTGGTCTCTGTGATATTTTTCATATGATAACAAAGAGTGTTAATATGTAATTATATTAGCACTGTTCTTTCATGATAATTCAATACCTTCACACATCTAAATTAAGGTCTTGCTCATTAGATAACAGAAACAGCAATATAGTGTCTCTTTATATCAATGACATTAAATTTGTCAGATATATTAAAGAGGACACTGTTTTAATTGATGATTTTCACACGCATTCTATGTAATAATGTTGTAAATTTTAGAAATTCTCAAGAAAATATTTTAATGAATTGGCAGTTATATTCCTTTTGAAAGAATGTCACATATTGGAAAAATAATGTACTTTTTCTAATTTAAATTATTTTTTCATGAAATGTTTTCAATTAGCTTCTCATCTACCTATAAGAAAGAAGAATTTTCAATGCATTGTGAAAGGTCGAAATATTTACGTATATTTCAAACACGCCTTATAATTAAGACTGATAAAAATATAGACTGGCATTTCCACTGTGACATAAGATATTTCAATCATAGTAGAACAGAATAAGTTTACTGTAACGACTATAACCAATGGTTAAGGGAAATTAATAAATCTGTTTCAAGGGCATACTAAATATTTTGTAGACATTATTACAAGAACTCTTCACTTCAACTATGGGATTTTTGTATCTGCTTATTACAGGAGTCTGAGTTTCAGAAGGGTGTAGGAACTTGCCTGAGGCACAGAGCTAATAAAAGGCATAGCCAGAGATAACACCCAGTTCTGCCCGATTTCAACATCCTTAAAGTCCATTATTACATGTAATGGGCATGAATTTTACACTACAAACATGTGTAAGAAATGTCATTTTATCTCCCTATCCAAAAATCAAATTATATTTATTTCAGATCCTCATCTCACTAGACTGGAAAGGAAATTCAATTTAATTTGATTCTCTATGGAATCACGTAAGAATATAGAAGATTTACAGGGTAGATTCCCAGAGATTTGGGTAGGAGTTATATTAAAAGGAAACATATTATGTATCAGTAAAAGAGGTGACTAACTTAGTATTTATTTATGGGGTTGAACAAAAAGGAGGAAAGGAAAGGGATGCCAGCTTTGATAACCTGACACCATGACAAAGGATAGTTTTTCATCTTCTATTGAACCATAACTGACATGCTTAACCTCTCTTCCTATGAGGTCTAATCTTTTACCTTGTAAATCAAATACTGCATGAAATTGGAAGTACTTCTCATCTACCTTGGCATTGTCTGATTAACTTGGACATATGATCCCAGACATAAAGTATCTTATGCTTTGAGGAGATAGCACCTCTGTCTGTATCAGTAGTGTAAAATATCTTCTCAAGTACAAGAAAAGATAATATTTATAGCAATAATTTCTACCACACTACCACTTTGTTGTGCTGCTTCTTTTAATCTGTAATATATAGTCACATATACACATTTTAATATTTTGTATGAACTGTGACAATAGGGTATATGTCTTTTATTATGTTTCCTTTTTACTATTTACTAATTTTTAATCAAAACACACATATATCTGGGTATTTCTTTAATGATTCTTCTAAGTTTTTGAATAGAATATGTTGTTTCATATAATTTTAATATTTAAATGCCTATGATAAATTTGTATTTGTGAAAATGTTTGGAATTTAGTGATTTATATAAATGTCTTAATGCAATATTTCTTTCGTATTATGTTAGGAAAGTTGAAAATAACGGCAACAACCTGTGTTAATTTCCATATTATTTTGTTATACTGGTAATATTAACATTATTAATAGAATAGAAATGAAAAGCATTTTTAAAATTTTGCTGCTTTTAAAATGGTTCAAATAAATTATATAACCTTCCCAATTAACTTGTGATGTTAAATATTCTTATCTGCGCTGACATTTTAGGACTAGAGGCTCAGAGATATGAAACAGTGACCAGAAAACCAGAGCGAAGTCTGGTGCCTGGCTCATTGCGTTTTCCAGTGTCACTTAGCACAATTCTGTGAAAGCCCATAAATTATTTCACCGTAGAGATTTTAGAACTAAGCTAAAGAAATATCATTAGTACGGGACAGCTAATTGCCAAATACAGAATAAATGCAAAGAAAGAAGAATAGAATTAGTAATTCTCATTCACGGTAATAAAAACAGAACACTTGGCATTTCTTCCTTTTTAACTTTCGTCCTTAATTCAAATGAGTTTTAAGAGTAATAATTTGAAACCCTGCCATTAGTTCCATCAGAAATATTAAATGTTAAATAAAACGATCCTTATTGATCATAAAATGGACATCATTTACTATCCCAAGATGGTAGAAAATACTTTTATGTGAATAGTAGAGAAATTGCCAAAAAATAAAAAGCTATTTTATTTCAGTCTGTGGATAACTTAATGTGCTACTGGAAAAAGCATACATATTCTTATCTAATCAATTCCCAGGGCACTTGGTTCTTAAAAGAATGCTCAGAAATGTCCCCAGATTTACTTCACTGTCACAAATAGATTGCAGTAAGTAGACACATTCTGACAACAGGGTCTCAAGCATGAATTAGTTATCTCCTTATCAAGATTTTTGATGTCACGCTTTCCTGCACATATTCTACCTTGAGACACGTGTATATTTTTTATATGTAGTCAAAAGTTTATTCCTGTTTCTGAGTACTTAGGGACCCAACAGAGCAGGCTTTCCCGTGGTAATAATGCGCTTGTTATTCCAATGACAGCACCTCCAGGCACGCTGCTCTCCTAACCTGGGATATTTCCCTCTTGGAGAAGTGAATGAGGCATTTCAGGCACTTCACCTGCTGCTGATGTAACTTAAAAATACACAAGAAGCATGTAGACACCAAAGATGTACAAAGGACATAGTGGGGAAAATAAATTTGATGGCTATTTAGCATGTGTTCCGGAAAGTACATACAGACAAGATTGTGTAATTTATTCTAGACAACTAGCGTAGTGAATTGCTATTTTTCTCTTCTACAAAGGAAGGAAATGAGTCATTTTATTTAAGTTTAACATTCTTTCCTCAAAAGCCATTATGATAGATCTTAACATACCTGTGTGATAAAATAATCACTCTCCTCTTTTCATGACACATCCTGTTCTTTATCGTTCATTTACGCATTATTACTTGTAACGTGCTAACTGCCACTAAATATCATTAAGCTAAGTAGATATTTGGCTAGTATTATCTACTTTCAATACACTTGATTTTTTTTGCCATCTTAGAAGTTTGAACAAATAAAAATAACTCTTGTGTTGGACATGAATACTTGACATCTCTCTGATTAACTGATGTGTTGAAAACACTCCTTTTTATATATAAAGGAAACTCTTTTCTCTTTTTTTAAAAATCTACAGGACAATATTTTTAAGCTGGAGAACTCACATTTTGAAAACGGCCGTGGGAAGAGTCCGTATGACCCTAAGCTGCTGACAGCATCTCTTTTAATAGGTGCGTAGTCAACAATCAAACAGTGAGTTTTCTACAGATAACAGTTTCCATGTTCTTTTTTACCTACCAAGATTTTCCGTTATTGAAATGATAATTGTTTTACAAGGAAATTAGTTGTGATATATTGAAATGTTTGAAAATGAAGAAGAAACAGTAAATGGTATTTTCATTATTGCACCAACTATTCTGATTCTTTTAATTGAAATGGAATAGGATCTTCAAATGGCTCAATTACTGTTCATCCCCACTTGGTACAGTTGGCAAAGACCCATTGTATTACCTTATGCTGGCTCATCCTAATATCATATTACATATACTGGCTAAGGGAAGATACATTCTGTATTCACCTTTATTGAAATTAGCTCTTCTTTTTTGGAAAATCTAACAAAATATTAGATGTGACTTCCTCTATCCTTTTCTGTAACCACCTTATTTTCTAGTTTTCTCCTCTTTTCATTTAGCATTGTTTATAAGTGGGGAATGCTTATAGTTCAAAATAATAGACGTAGATACAAATAAGATAAAACTTTAGTCTGTACTGAAAAACAAAGAATTTTTTCCAGACTCTTTTAACTACCTCTGTACTAGAGTTAACTAAATACACAAACAAAAAGTGGCAAATCATGAAGTAATTTTTAAAATTTTTGTTTTCTCTTTCTTTTATCATTTTTTCTTTCTTTTTTATTTTGGAAATTTTGAGCATACCAACAACCTAAAACATAAAAAAATTCTGGGTCATGATTCTGTTCTTGAATGTATTTTTCTACATAATTGTGTAGAAATTATGTACCTTTTTGTTTCCCTTTGCTGTAAAATATGCAAAAGAATTATTTAATAGAAAAACAAAATAATAATGAAACTTTTCAAATCTAAAATTTCTAATTAAATTTTAAATAATAAATCTTGATCAAAAAATTAAATTTAAGTAATCTGATGTGTCATAAGTTTATAAAGTTTTCCATGTTTCTCTTCTTTTTTTTTCCACTCAGAAAAATAAATTCTAGTCATATTGACTGCCATATTAACCATGAAGATATATATATTTTTTCTGTATTCTCTAGTGTTTTCTTTTATCACCATGTTTCACTGATCCTTATTCTATTGAGAAAAAAACCATTGGGGCATGAATTATCTCCTCTGTTGCTTTTCAAATGGGGACACTTTTAGTCCATTTCATGCATTTATGCAGCATTTTAACAAAAGTTTAAGACCTGAAGGAATGCAGCATACCTAGCACACTTACAATTTTCCTATTTATGGATGGCCTAGTGATTATTTGTGGATGACTTCCTCAAAAATACATGCTGAAATTTGAACGTTGTTTTAAACAAAGGGTAGGAGTCATATTTTGTATGAACTTACAGCCTATACTTATTTAAATTGCACACTGAGAAAAGGATAGATATTCCTTAAAAAGCAGTGTGCTGAAGTGTGCCCAAAGCAGCTTTAATTTGTGCTGTGTTTCTCAGTAGGGACTTGCTTGATTATTTATTTTAATATTCCGCTGAGAAAGAATGATGACAAGTAGGTATTACATAGTTCATATGGTATGCAACCACCCAAAGTCCACAAAGAAAATGAAACTCCACAGTTCTAGTTTTATATTTGAATATCTTTGAAAAAACCATATAGGTTTATGAAAAGGCAAAGAGAATGAGTGAAGTTCAGAAGGTCAAGAAGAAGATATGGCCAGAAAGAAAAATAGGTGTTTCAGAAAAAGAACTTTCAGATGGAAGTGCAGACCTAACCTATCTAATATGGTAAAATAGTTTAGTAACTTTCAGAGACATGTAGTGCTTATTGACAAGACCAAATAAATTAATTTCTGAATTCATTGAATAGCAAGATACAGAAAAAGAAACAGGCCGTATTATACCTGGTAAAATCCTTCATACCTGAAACACCATTTTAATTCAACAGCTGTAACTCTCTGTGTTGAAGTTATTTGCTTTCTTTATAACTGTGCTATAAATTCTTCCTCTTATGGTACATTTAATTCCCCTTGTTGGGTTTTCCTTGGCATTTTCTCTCATACTTCTCTAAAAAGAATGCTCACTACTTTAATGGAGATTTTTAACATAAATATTTTCTACGGCACTTCCCAAACTCTTTTACATACAAGGGTAACAGCTGTCTCAGAAATAAACAGGTTGTACTTTGTATATCAGAAAATGGCCGTTGGGAAAACCTATCTTCCCAAAAGTTTTTGGATTCCTTCCTCATTTTATAAATAAGATAGACATTTCAAGGTGGTTCCAGGCTGCTTCCTTCCCCAATACTGGGAAATAAAATTTCAGCCTGGGCTCAAACCATCTGTAAACTGGTTAGATGGATCTTGGCAGCAAATATTTTTTATACCATCAATCCCACTAGGAAAGAAGTAGTTTCAAACAGTAGTAAACTTTAAAATGAGACGACAGCTTAAAATTTTTAGTTTCCAAAACTAGCAAGGTTTAGTATGACTTTTCTCCAAAAAGGCATGGGTTTTTAAGCTGAGGACTGTTGAGAATTTGGATTATCTCCTGAGTAATGCAAAGTTACCGAATTAAGTCCCCAAATCCAAGAACATGTCCTAAGTTTTTCAAACCAACATGGTAAAGTTAATTTTGCAATCTCCTTTAAAAGTGATAATTTTGTCAAGATGAAGTTGCTGTAGTCTTTATTTTTCTTGTTCTGTTGCCCAGGCTGGAGTGCAGTGGCATGACCTCAGCTAACTGCAACCTCTGCCTCCCAGATTCAAGCAATTCTCTTGCCTCAGCCTCCTGAGTAGCTGAGACTACAGGCATGTGCTAGCAGGCCTGGCTAATTTTTATATTTTTAGGAAAGACAAGGTTTCACCATGTTGATCAGGCTGGTCTCGAACTCCTGACCTCAGGTGATCCACCCACCTTGGCCTCCCAAAGTGTTGAGATTACAGGTGTGAGCCACAGTGCATGACCTTATATTTTTTACCCTTTCTTATTTCATCCACCTGCAAATGTTTTTTTATGAATTTGTTTTTAAAAAAATCTTTTATTGCAGATAGCAATTACTCACCTGCTAATAATAAATGCCAGGTGTGAACATAGCACAAGGATAAATCTCAGTATTTTCCAACACTAATTAAGTACTGTCTCACATTTTCATGATGTGAAAGAATAGTCAACTTGAGAGCAATTTTATTTTTTCATTAAAATCTTTTCCAGGCAATGAAGCACTAGTAATTTAGAAATATTCCATCCCTAAGAGGTATTACTGAGTCCTATTTCAAAGTCCTGAGACTTTTAGCTAAGGTTATATCCTGAAGTCAAAATGCTGTCTTGTCTCAGGAAAGAGCATAATTTGATATTACAAAATGCTCTCACTTGATATTAGAGCAAATAAGGAACTCTCTAAGTAAATTGCATACAATTGAGAAAATTATTTGAAGCTCTCTGAGCTCAGTTTCCTTGTACATGAAATGGCATGGCAGTTTTGCTTTCACTAGTTCGTTGTGAGAAATAAAACAACATAACAGCATACTACCATTTTCGGTGCTTGTGTAATTCCGGAATATAAGCAAAGATAAAATAAGCAAACTTGTAGCAGTGGTTGCCTGTAGAAAGGCTGGGAGGGAGATTTGGTACCTTATAAATTTTACATTTTCAATTTTATACCATGTAGACATATAAACTGTTGAAAAATTTTAATTTTAAAAGAACAACATGAGTAATGAAGCCAACATATTATATTTATTGATATAGAGAAGGTGCTCAATAAATGTAATAGTGAAAAATTTTTCTTACATCCATGGATTTCATCCATGCTCTGTGTGTGTGTGTGTGCGCATGTGTGTGTGTGTGTGTGCATGTGTGTGTGTGAAATAGAGGGGGTGTTTTCTTTCTTTCTTTCTTTCTTTTTTTCCCTTCTGTTTCTAATTTCTTTGCTGCTCTGTGAGTGGAATTTACTTAAGGTGTTAACAACATAATGGCTTGGTGTTTAAGTTTGTTTGATATTTTGCTCACATCCATGTCACACTTTTCACCTGTGTTAGTAATGCTGCAATTTCATCAGGAAATGTGGTTTTGTTTCCACCTTCTGTTTCTCCTCACCACACCCTGCTTAGGAATTGTAATCCAATACATTCACTGATCTAAGCCACATTTTTACTTCATTTTGAGTTTTGAACAGAAAGTCTAGAGTATATATGAACTTTTGTTTTTAATACATACTTCTCAGGCAACTAAGCCATAATAGAAATGCAGTTCACAAAACTGTTTTTGTTCATCTCAGTACAGTATGCTCTCCTGTGAGAGAGTTAAGAAAGCTTCCAGTTAAGAAAGAATGGTCATATACTCAAATAGCAGCTTTTGTATTTGACAGTTTCTGGATGATAGTTTACATCTGTCAGCACTAATTTGTCTTAGTTCAATATATTATTTTTGAAATGTTAAACTGCCCTTGTGGTACTTTTTTCGAGAGGCTTAAAGATCTTGTAGGGTATAGTATTCACAACCACCTTTTAATGTAGATAATAATTTCTAGATATATGATTCTACCATCAATTTAATAAAATTGGACAAATGTTTATTTCTTTCACAATTGGCTTAGTATATGTGAACAGCCCTAAAGTAGGTACCTCAATCATAACGCCATTTGAATTATTGCGAAATAACAATTAATACACTACTTCAGATTCTCAATAAGACATACATTAGGATCAGAAAATTGTCAAATTAACACTATGCTTAAGAATCAACATATAATTTGATAACTTCATAAGTGACCTAGAAACCACAAAATAAGTTTGCTGAGTAAACATTAAAAAAAAAATACATCCATTCTCCAAAATAAGTCAACTGAGGTATTGTAAATTTCTTATAGTCATCAGATACCTTTAGTTTATTTCAGAAAGCCACAGAATGTAAATGTTCAAGTTTATTAAATGGCATATACCCTGGTTTGATATTACATTTCTTCTTAATGAGAAATAAGAGAAGATAGAATATACTACTGCCTATGTTTTTGGGCAAAACAACAAAGATGTCATACCTTATCTAGAGCAATCATCATTGATAAGACTCCCCATAGAATTCTCACCAGGAAATGTGATCTAAGCCCTGGTGCAACTAAACAGTCACTGACATTAAGCATGGACAAGATGGGAATGTGCCCTTCATGGCCACTTAATCATCTGGTACCCTCCAGTTCAATAAAATCATCTAACTCTTGCCAAAAATCATATTCATGTGGGAGGTAATTTCCTATAGCTGGAGGAACTGGTGCCTAAACTGCATACTTATTTTGGTTTATAAGTCACTTGTTTAATTCTCTTTTAGTCTTAAACGGAGTAGCTCGTTTACTGCATACCTCTTCTGCTTTCTCTGAAGGACCTTCTCAACTTTTGTGAAAACAGAAAGAAAATATTATTTCTGCCTTTACATTGCTTTGCATTGATTTTTGTCTTTCTAATATGAGGGTGGATAAAAAAATGTTATAAAACAACCAAATGCAAGAGAGAGATAAACACCTTTTCTATCCAAGTAACAGGTTTTAGTTGTTGATTTTACTATTTCAACTGCTTCTTGAATAGACTTTAAATATAATAAACATCATAAGTATGGATTTTCTTACCCTAAAGCAAGCTAAATGACAAGAATGATTGATTGATTACATTATTTACTCTAATATTTCCTATTAAACCTCCTGTTGGCATGGTTTGACTAAATTCTGATATTAAATTGTTCAGTTTTCATTTTTTTAATTATTCTATTTTTAGTTTTTTAAGTGTGGTTTAGAGGCAAAGAGGTTCAACCAGTAATTTAATTTTTTTGATTTTTTTTTAAGAAAAGAAGACACAAGCTATCTTCTCATAGGTGTTTCATCATGAAAATGTTTGAAATTTGCATGACCATTTTATGATGTTTTGACAACACACTTTTAACTGAGACCCTCTTATTCACTCAGACCAATAACAAATTATTCACCTGATGTTTAAAAATACATCATCTATTTGCTAATATTTTGGGAAAAGTTTAGATATTACCCTTAATAAAAATGTTGTGGTGCTTGAATATTGGTTAATATTAAGGAGATAATAGGCATTTATGTATTTCAAAGTGGCTTTGAAATTTATACATAGATTATCATAACATTTGTGCATTTTCAGAAAAGGGCTATTTCTGGGGGAAAAAAGGCATATTTTAGTGAGAACAAGTCAGATTCCACTTGATAGTTAAGTAAGTGAAGAGAGTATAAAGTGCTTTTGAATCCCAAAGACATCATGCTGTGACAATTTAGGATGACACGACAGAACAATTCACTTACTAATAATTTATACTCAATAAATTATCTAACCATCATTTTTATTTATCTTCAGTCACAACAATCCAAAATGAAAGATCACATTTTTAAACTCAGTTTTCAGGATGAGATTCATATCTATGGATGTTTAGAGTAATAACATGTTTATGTTGCTCAGTGATTTTCTCTGTGTAGCTATTCTCCACTGTTCTGGAGGGTCTCCAAAATCAAGTCTGTTCAGACATATAAGTGAGACAAAGGTTCTACCAAAGGAATTGCTTTGGTTTGGGCCACTATGAATATCAATTTTACATTGCAAAGCCCTTATTTGCAAGTAGGAATTAGGTATATGAACATATGGTAATGTTACACAAATGCTTAAGTTATAATTTATCTTTGCCTTCTTTATTATCTGCATATTTCCCAAATCAATAAATAAACATTAACCTATTCGATCAACAAGATAATATTAAGATATACTGTAATTGTCATGGATTATTTGAAGGAAAATATTTAAGTTTTGTTGTTTTGTTTTCAAATAATTCACTGTATGTAGAAAGGCAACTACATGTTTTCTGGAAGAGAGAATACAAGGCCCTTTCTGTTTCCAAGTAAGAAAGAGTGATTTTTACAAACTTTAGTTTATTGAAAGGTGGTATGGTTAAGTATAAAAGGCTTGGGATTAAACAAGCCTGGGTTTGAACCTTCACCTTGACTTGCCATTAGCCGAGCAACCTTGAGTTTCTTGAACTGTAAAGTAGGGATAACATTATTTACATTATGGGATTGTTAACAGAACTAAATGAGATAACTTGAATGTGTCAAGCCAGTGCCAACTGCCTGACAAACACGGAGTGAAATTCAGTAAATATTAACTTCTCTTTTACGCCCCCCTTGTCTTTTCCCTTCTATTCTTTACCGTCTGGTTATGATTCCTCCATTATTAAACTCTGACCTAGAGTTAATTCAATTTAAGTAGTAATGAGTCAAAAAGTGATGGAATCTTGCATTGGAGTGATTATGATCTGGGTTTGTCAAAATTCCTTCCTCTTAAAACACATTTCTGCTGTATATGAGGTCATGTGGTTGACTTATTTTTGGACTGGTTGATAGCTTATAACAAATAAAAACACTTCTCCCACTAGATACATTAAAAAATAAGCAAGAAAAAAATTCTGGCAGAAAAAATCAGCATTTCTAAATCATAGGAAAATCTCATTAATTCAGATCCCACTGAGAAAGAAGTATATAAAAGATTTAATTGCCATTAGAATAAAGCTATGAATAAAATTTTATAATGATACCTCACTCTACGTTATAAGGATATTAGAACCATGGTAACTGTACACATATAACAGCAAATGATATAATAAATGTAGTTTGCATTTTGTGAGTTTATCAGTGGTCATAGTAGAAAAGAATATAATTTTATGTTTTAGCAAGATTCACTGCATTGGACTTTATTCAGATTTTCTAAGTTTGTACCAGATAAGTAGTCATATACTAAATCAGTGAATAAGTATTTGATAAAATAATTCCTTCAATAAGGACATAGGATTAAAAAATAAGTAACTCTGCATAATGATGCAGAGAGCATTTCAGTTTTCTTCTTAGCATGCTCATAACATGAAACTTGCATTTTGTTTGTTCGTTTTGCTTTGTTTTTGCCTTAACTGAGTTAAAGAATGTGTATGTGGTTTTGTCACAACACAGATGGAGAATTATACTCTGGAACTGCAGCTGATTTTATGGGGCGAGACTTTGCTATCTTCCGAACTCTTGGGCACCACCACCCAATCAGGACAGAGCAGCATGATTCCAGGTGGCTTAATGGTACGTGGTTTATGAAAGAAAATAGACATATAACATATGTAACTGTATTAAGTTACTGGAGAACTCTTTTACAGTACATGCAATATGATTTGAAATTTAGTGTGCAGTTAAGCTAATGGTGGTGACTTCATGATGTTGGGTGTGAGAAAGTTTGGCAAAGAAAGAAAAGAGAGATTAAATATTCAGGAAAAGATTCATTTAGTGCCAAAGTTGAAGTTTCTCAGTAGTTAGCTATGGAAAGAAAGATCTGGATCAGAGCTACGGAAGGGAGGCAATGGAAAAAGATAAGTCGACTTACCAATTCTGTCTTATGGGGACACCACAACAAATCTTACAGGGTAGTATTTTTTTTTCCCTTTACATCTCTTATTATTTCCTTGAAAACATCATCTTATATACTAGTGAATGTCAAAAATTGAATGTTATTGCAGTGTGAATAACATATTAATAGTCTTTTCAAAATTTCAAAGGTATTTTAAATCATGATTTCATATGATTCACATTTAATCTTAATCATCCTAAAACCCCTCTCCCATTTTATAGGTTAGGATTTTAAGGTCAATATTTTATCTAATCCAGTAGAAGAATGTTTAGAACAGAAACCCAGTTTTCTGAACTTCAGGCACCGGCTTAACTACTTGATCAAGTAGATGCTTATTATTATTTATTACTATTACTCTCTATTTTCTTTTTAGTATAGAAAATAATTTTGGCATAGCAGAAAATATACAAGCTGTATATACCCAAAATAAATAAATACTACTCTTATTCAAAATTTTAATTAAGCAATCTGTTCATATCCTCCTATCTAGAATTCATTTTTTTTTTTTTTTTTTGGTTAGTCATTTACACATTTACCAAAAATTTTTATAAAAGTCCCTAGTATATTAACCATGGTTGTTTTTATTGTTACTTAATGATCTATATTTATGCCTACCTCCAATCTTAAAAAACAAAGCCACTCAATCTCCAATTATCCCTCCATGAAATTTATCCTGCTTGTACATAACTCATTAATAAGAATGAAGCATGAAATTTTTCCTGGTTATACATAATTCATTACAAAGAAAGACACCTATGGTTTATAGTCATGTTCTCAGTAAGACGCCTGAATATCTCATTCTATGAACTTCTGCCACAGTTGTTGTTCCTGCCTTATTTCAGGAACCCCAAAACATAGTTCATCCCTTCTGTCTTTCATTGGTTGTTAGAGAAAAATCACAGGTCTACCTCTAGATCTCATTGAAATTCCAAGAGACCATGAGTTGTGTGACAACCTTTGTTCTGATCCATCTTATACTTCAAAGTGACTACTCAAAACACAAAACATACCTCAAATTACCTCAGTCAGCATCTCTTCCCTCCTGTGACAGCATTTCTGACTGTCCTATAATTTTCCATGTAGTAGTGACAAAGGCATGCTCCCTTCCTCCTCGTTTGACCCTTCAGCCTTGGCTCTTAATGGCATTGTTGTTCTTTGATTAATTTAGTCAATTTACATTTCATTTGTTATCTTTATCTCTTTTTCAGTACTAATTTCTTCCCCCAAGCTAAAATCTTACTTATCCCATGCAACACTGTTCTGTCATGCTATGCCACAAAGTCCCAATATATCTAAGTTCATAGCCTGGTTAGGACTTGTTTCCTCAATGTTACTACCTTTACTTTAAACCTGGCAGTCATCCAATAATTACTTCCTTAAAATTATTCCTCCAAAGGACACTAATGATTTTCTATTACTTTTTATTAATCTCTACTTTGACAATATTTCCTGCAGCATTTATCATTAACTAGCCCATTCTTTTAAAGTCTCTTCTCTTAGCTTCCCCTATTTCTTGACCTCCCAAGTTTTCTCTAAATTTGACATCACTTCTTTACTATTTTAAATCCTAATGATGGCTAACATAATTGATGACTGCATACAAACACTGTGGTAATCAAAGGGGATTAGACATGTAGTCAAATGTTCCTCTGCCACCGGGGGTAGGCAGAGTTTCATGGTACCTGGGTGACCATGTGAGAAATTTGATGCCTCACCGGGGAAAAGAAAAGGTGCTGAGATGAAGAGAAGAGCATGTGCAGAACTCCAAAAACCCACAGGAATATTCTAGAATATCCAGTATAAATTATTAGCCCTAGGATGTGTGCAGAGGCAAAATTAGTAGGGAAAAAAAAAAAAAAAAAAAAAACAAAACCCTCTTAACTTTGCTATCTGGTTTATTCACAAACTGAAATATTTGTGTGGGAGGGAGAATGTTTGTTTTTCTATTTAGAAAGAAGACTTTGATCTACTAAGTACCCTAAAGGGCATACAGGCTTTCTCTGTCCATGAGAAACAAAATCTCATTAGAAGATGGAATAACATAAAGGAGAGTATAGTATCCATTTCATTTTTATGGCCTCAGAGAAAAAAAAAGCCATCAAGTTAAAGCTGCTTTTATGCTGCACACTCACATGTTGACAGCTGAGTCTGAAGAATTTACACTGTGGGAAAACACAGTCATTGTCCACAGCTCTGTACTTCATCTCTGAAAATGTGTAGTTCATTTGAGAATTCAGTTATCAGTCTCTCAGCACTAAACGTGAGAACTGATTTTTCCAAATTAGCACAAAGGTTACATCTGACAGGGTGCAAAAAACAGAACTGCTGCAAGATGGAGGATACAAACATGTTTGAGATAGAACCAAGGGACTCTGAATCACAAGCCTTGTGACATTAAATGCTGTTACACAATAAAATTGAAAATGTAATGTTTACACATTCATGCATAAAATAAATGAGTTTTGAGGCATCAGCATAGAGTACACAATCATATGTGTTCCAGAATTAATACATTGCTTTGCAAAGTATTTTTTTCAAGGGTCTTCAGGGTTATGAAAATTAATTTCAGCATAGGACTTTATTTTTCTCAAATCAATTCAACTCTTTTGGAAGAATCAGTTCACCTATTTTAGATGACTTTTAATTTTTGTTCCTGGTAAGGAAAAACGAACAAACAAAACAGTTGTCTAAAATTGGAACTTGAAATATCTTGATTTATTAAAATGGAGTTTCACTACTTTCATAAGTAGAAAGTTTATATAACGATGCCAATAAATGTTTAAATTCAGTTTTAACAGGAAAATTTAGGAGTGAATAACACTTTCAGATTAAGAAACTTCAGACAATGGAATCTGTTGTGTATTTTACATTTTAACATGTAATAACATTCTTAAAACATCTTCATTAGTTACGATAAACCCTAATTTAGGGTTTCTAAATGTTATAACAATTTTTTATTTCAGAAAATATACTGCTAGGGGTTTGGCATGATGTGCCAAAATCCAGTAGTTTTTTCTGATACTACATAAATTCTCTCAGTATTATATGGTTTCAAATTTCAACTCCAACTTCAGCTGAATGTGGAAATAAAGTAAAATTGTTCTGTGTATATTTATAGTAAGGAAACAGATAAATTTATGCTGCTGTTATCATGATATCTTAGCATTTATTATGAAAATACTACTACCTAGTTATTATCCATATTAACAATTCATTAGAGCAGTTGGATTACTAGCCCAATTTATTTTTCTTATTTGATGGAGACTGTTTTCCAGTATTGTTTATGTCTTGAAGTAATAGTGGGATGATACATGATTTACAAGAAAGACTATCTTTAGAATGAGGCATGGTTTCACTTTACTTTGTCCCTTACAGTAATGAAATGAACAGAGGTACTACCTGTCTCCTATAGTTATTGTGGAAAATGACCACATAATAATGTATAAAAAGCACTGAGCAAGTTCTTGGTATGTAGTAAGCACTTAATAAATGCTAATTATCTGGGTACCCTTTATCCCACTTCTGTTGGGTGGAGCACACTTAGGAAGCTTGGCCTGACTCACTCTGTGAGTGATTATGTTTGAGTCAGGGTGAAAGGGCAGCCAGAGTCGGGTTTAATACATGAAACCACATGGATCCCAAGGCCTGGGGAACACAAACAGACCTAATTACAATGCCTGGAGTGTGACGCCTTCCCACTCATTTCAGGAAGACCTGTTTTCTTTTAGTGGAATTTCCTAAAAGGATCGTGCCTGTAGATAGACTAACCCATTTGCTCTTTTTCTGTAATTGAAATGGTATGCAAGTCATCACTCCACTTCCTCTCACTTGTATATTCATACCCTGATGGCCTGCCCTTATTGGAATCAACATAGCTTCCTCTGTGGTCATGTACTAGGATATTTCGTACTCTCTTAAGATTCAAATTTCTCCACAACATGCGTTTTTAGAAAACTAGACCCAGTGACGGAACATATGACTGCAAATAAACTATGAATACACAAGTTAACATTACACGTTACCAGATACCCAATCTCAAATCACTTGTACAGCTCTTTAATACACTATTTTGATCTTACTATCTTTGGAGACATAAAAAACCTCAGAGTATCCAATTGCATTTTCTTTAATAAGTAAAACAGATCATCTAGTTTTGCATAATGTCAGACTTCTGATGATGTCATTTTTGCTTATTTCTTTGGCTTAAGCAAGTTAGTAATATTTTGCTGACCTTTGGGGAAAAAGCCCTCTATAAGCCTATTTCATGCTTATTTGAGCAGATGAGTGTTAGAGGAGCTGAGAGATCATTCAGTTAAAACAACAGCAACAACAAAGGTCCTCTTAGTTTTTATAGTCAATGAAAGAAGAAAACAAGAATGCAGTATTTTTAAACATTTGAATTATGCGTTCTATGAGTAAGCAGTGTATGCATTAGCTAGCAATTCTGGAGTATCAATGTATAAAGTAACAGAAATAAAATGACAATCCTTACAGTTATTTTCTTTAAATTACGCTGAAAATTTGAATATGCAAACTTTAGAACAATAGTTATGTCTATACCTAAAGACAACTTAGTAGTTAAGTTTTGTTTTCTCAGGAATCTATTACTCAGAAAAATTTTCATCTTAACAAATAATGCACAGCCATTAGAAATGTATCTTTTTAAACAATAAGTATA